GAAAGGGTCCGGCTATAAACAAAGAGGGGCAAAGCATGAACTCAGAACCTCCTGGACTGAAGGTGGAAGGTGAGGATGGGTGGCGGGGAAGAGAGGGAATAAATATGTAGCGAGTGGTTCCTATAGGCACTATGTCAACATTTTTTGTTTTAATGCATATGATCTTCTCAAAAAACCTAGTTAGGAGGGATTTTTATTAGACCCTTTTCACAGATGAGGAAACTGAGGCTTAGAATAGTTCAGTAACTTGCGCCAAGGGCACACAGCTAATTGGGAGTCACACAAGGGTTCAAAACCAGGTCCTTAACTCCAAAGCGGGTGCTCTTTTTAGTAAGTCACTAACATCACGGCCAAGCTGACCTGCTGGGCCATGCCTCCCCAGCACACCCACCAATGGTGTAGCTGTCACTCTGACGGGAAAACCTCTCATGTCTCACAACCTGGGATATGACTGGGATTTACTGTACAATAAAGTATCCTCCAAGTGTCCTGAAGGATAGCAAAGGCCATTGGAGATATTCTGGAGACAATCTGTGCCACCCCTGAAAAGTCAACAGACTGGTAGAAAGCAGAAGCTGAAGAATGCCAACATGGGAAAAGCTGAGAGCCACACTTAACCGAGGCCCACCCCAGGACGCAATGCTGCTTATCAGGAAGACGGGGGCAGATGCCGGTTTGGAATCTACCCCTTATGAGCTGGGTGGCCTTCGAAAAGTGATTCTCTTCTCCATGGGGTCCTAGCTGCTTCCTTTGAGAAGTGGGGTTGGTACTGTAATGTCATGAGGTTGTTCTGAGGATTTAATAAGCTGACATAAAACATATACTGACATTGTGACGTATCTGGAGTTGGTAATAATGTTACTATTAATAGTGCACAAAGCTCCGATTGCCTGTAGGAAAATGCCCAGAGAGCCTGACATCCTAGGAAGCCGAGGGTCTGAGATGAGGAAGGTCCCACTTTCCCTTTTTTTCATAAACAAGTACACGCCACCTCCTCAGAAGAGAGGAGGATGCCGTGCTTTCCTCTTGGCAAAATACTGATGCTCTGGTGACTGACCTAACAGGTCACAACAACCTCGTTTTTCCCTCCTTGAATGGAACTAGCCACAAGAGTGGGTGTGCGCCGACCTCGCCACTGACAGGAGCTAAAGGGACAGTGAGGCCAGAGCAGCTGGCCCCTCCTTAGCTGCAAGAGGTGCAGAGAACCCTGCGATAACATCCACCCCACAGAACATTCTGCAGAGCAAGTGCCCTGCCATTCTGCAGAGCGAGTACCCTGTATACACAAAGGCAGAAGCGTAAGATAAGAAAGAAGGGAGTGTCAAGTGGATGAAACAAAATAATAACAACTCACAGTTTAATTGAGCACATACTGTGTTCTAGAACCTGTGTGTAGGAGCTTTGCAAATATTATCTTATTTAATCCTCATAATTATCTTACAAGTAGACCTTTCCATCAGGCCCATTTTACAGACGGGGAAGCATTTAGAGCTTGCAGAAGCACTAAGTGGCAGAGCAGGATGCAGACTAAAGTCTCATCTGGCTCAGAGCCCACAGACAAGGAAAACCAAAGGTCAAAATGCTGGATCGGCCTTCAGGTTCTGCCTCCTTCATCCTTGCCTGTGACCTCAGGTGTCTCTGGAGGAAGGTAACAGGTCCTCCATGAGTTGGGTCCCAAGAGCAGTGCCAAGGGCTGGGTGGTGCTCATACACATGGGTTCAGGGATAAGGGGGTGAGACTTGGAATACAGAGGCTAGGGTCAGCTATGAAGCTGTGAGAAGCAGGAAGAGACCTGGTCAATGAGTCATTTCTGGCTCCAGTTCTTTCTTTACTATGACCTTTCTATAAAATGTCATATTTGTGAAATGAGGGTGGTGGTGAAATGGAGGAGAGACTGGATGTTCACTGAGGCACCTTCCAGCACAGAGTTCTTGCTGTGCACTGGAGGACATCTACAGGACCGAACAACTCCCCAAACAGATGTCAAAGGCACTGTGTTCTCAGGAATCTTTGCAAATAACACACTCGATTTTGCCAAGATAGAAACAGCCACAAGAATACACTTCATTTGGCCAGAAAAAAATAGCTACAAGAATGATTCATGCATGTAATGTTCTCATCTTCTATGCCCTATGTAACTAGGCATTAATTCGCAGAAGGACAAAATAAGAGACTACAATGAATATACCAAAATGCCTCTTTTTTTTTTTCTCTCTATATAAAAGATCTCACTAAAATTCTCTCGGATCCGTATCAGACTCACGGGCACTTGAGATTGGAAGGACATTTGAAGATCAACTGATCTGACTCTCCATTTGATGGCTAAGTCCCCTCCACAGTGTCTCTGAGGGGTCTCCAGGGTATGCCTAAATACCTCCAGGACAAGAAACCAGATACCTACTGAATTCAATGGGCAGCTCTGATCTTTTGCGAGGTCTTTCTTATACTGTCTACAGCTTTGGTTGCACCTCTGCGCCTTGTGGCCACACAGACTACGCCAAATGCGCCTCCACATAGCCCTTCAGAAACGTGGTCCCCGAGTCTTCTCTTCTGCAGAGCTGTCAATCATTCTGCACTTACAAGAACAATCTGACCGCTGACACATTGTTGTTTTTGTTGTCGTCCTCGTTTTTCTAAGACAGATTTACTTGATCCACAATTTTTCCAAGATGATTAGTCCTCCAAGTAACCCAAACTGTGCATTTTTTCCAACTTATATTATCAGCAACACTGAAAGCTGATCATAATCAACTTGCTTTCATAAAAAGAAGGAATCCATCAAAAAATAGACTTTAAGAGAATCCACTTGGCTAAAACTATCACCAGCAAGCGTTCCATGTTCGCAGATAAACAAGGAAGAACTATGAATGCACATTTCTCCCCCACTACCCATTCCCCACTGGAATTTAAACGACCAGCTTTCCAATCACAGAACCATAAAAATCATCAATCATCTGGCCACAACCTCACATCTTATGATGTGGATACTGAGGCCCAGAGATCCCATCTCTTTCTCCATGCCATCCCCGGATGTTTTTATAATTCCCCGTGCTGGGTTAGGCACTGGGGATACCAAGCCCTTGCCCTCCCAGTTCTCTGAGCAGGGACTCACAAGGCAGTGCAATTCAAGGAATGTAAAATAGGTAGAAGCACATTGTTGGGGGGTAACTCAATGACAGGCATTTGGAACTTTGTACAAAAAACTTGGCAAAACGCTGTTTCCTTTCTCTGTGCCTTTACTCAAGCTGCTCCTCCAAGTGCAACCTCTTCTCTGTTTGGCAAACTGATCCTTTAAGACTCAGCTTAGGTATCACCACCCCCACCAATACTTTCTCCCTGACTCCCCCTTTATCTGCCCTTCTCCTTTATGATCCCATTAACACCTTGTACAAATCACACTCATTGTACTTAGCATCGTGTACCACACTTAGCCTTCCCGCTTGGATTGTCTCCATTAGACTTGAGCTTCCTGAAGCTAGGTAACTGAGTTTTACTCAGTTTCATACATCTAGTCTAGTTCAGTTGGAATGTACTGGATTTGATGAACAAATAAACATTTCAGCAGATTCTTAAGGGTTAACAGGAATTTGTCACACACAGAAGAAGAGAAAAGAATTCCAGGTCAGGAAGCCCATTCAGAGAGACAGTGCTCTGAAAGGGTGTGGCATGTCTGCAGAGCTGTGTGGGCCATTCTCCTGGTGGGCGTGGTGGGCATGGGAAGAGTGCTGGGGTTGGAGCTCGGGGGTTAAGTTTGGGCCAGATGTGAAAAACCACATAAGCCGTGCTGAAGTTTGCAGACATTATCCTGTAGTTAGGGTGGGTATAAAAAGTCTTTATGGAGGGGAGTGACGTCATCCCATTAGTCTTTAAGGTCACATAAGTGGCCAAGGAGGGAGCACCGCATTGAGGAGAGACACAGGGAAGGAGGGTGTGTTTGGAGCCTATGCTTGCTTCAGGACAGGGGGGAGACTCTGTGTCAGAGGCACCGTGGTCCAGGAGCTCAGGAAGAGCCCTGAGGGGGGATGCAAAGTGTGGACTCAGGTTTGAGAGCATCGGTGGAACCAACAGGATCTGATGAGTAAACTGAGGCGTGGGAGACAGGGAAGAAGCATCAGTGTTGACGGCAGTGTTTCTAACCTGGAATCCCGGGGCGAGACAGACAATGTTAATAGAGACAGGGGCCACGAGAAGAGGAACAGTTTGTGCGGGGGTGGGGGGCAGGGGGTACAGGTCGTGAGGTCATTTCTGGAAAGATTCCTATGACAATCCTCCCAGATGATGTCTATAGGTTGGGAGCTACTTCTTAACTAAAGGACATAAATGAAATGCAAGAAAATCAGTCACGAAAATCACAAGAGTACAAGACATATTTTTTAATCCTCGCAGAGACAGACGGAGCAATTCTAATGATTTGAGGGTGAAAGAAACAAGTTCAGATGAGAAATCTTCTCGTTTTAAAACTACAAATCATTTCTCAGTCCGTTAAATTGACAGTTGTATACAAAATATTCTCTAGGCAAGCAGATTCCAGCTCTTTCTTATTTTCTGGACTCAACTGAATCATTTTCATATCTTTAAAAAAAATTCTTATTACCAGCTGGCTAATAGCCTCACACCATTTAGTGGGTCCTAGTCGCCAGGGAGAATTCAGTTTATATTAATTAAGTGGTCCCACTCAGCCATTTTATTGACTAACAACCTCATTTTTTATTCATCTTTTCAAAATGCTAGAAGGTCAGGATTTTACTGAGGAAAAGCCCACAGACACACTCATGAACAAATCCCTTCTGCACCAAAATCAATCCATCTTTTAATCTAGCAACACCCTTTTCTCTCTCATTTCATAGCAAAAGCTCCAAAGAGCAAGCAACAAACAGAACCCCTACAGACCCAATTGCTCCATTTAAATAAACAGCAAAAGGACTTTCCTGGCTCATGTGGTTATCCTAAATGTACAGAGACTGCTCTTAGTAGAAAAGAAACTGAAATTGCCAGCTCACCCTCTTCCGCAAGTTGTAGGTGAGAATGAGGTTCCGGGAGAAGGAGTGGGAGAAAGCTGTGTAGAATTCCAGCACTTTCTGCAGGGCGTCCCGCTTGATCACATGCAGGTCACAGTAGGTCAAGGCCCTGACGTTGGCACAGGACTGGGCAAGGGTGGCTTCCTTCCAGAACACATCTCCAAACACATCTCCCTTCCCTGAGGAGAGAAAATGGTGATGAGGAAAGTATCAGTAGGAGGTGTCTGGCTATCGGGGTTGGCTTCCCACTGTCTCCCAGAGTTGCTGTCCATTTGGCATCCCATGGCTTGGGCTCAGAAAAGGCAAAAATGGTTTTAATTTGGACCTTAGCAACATGCAATTTAAGAAACTTTAAAATACCATAGGATATATGTCAAAGTTCAACCAATAACTTTGGGTTCATTTGTGACCTCCTGAACACCCTATCCAAAATGGGAGCCCTGTGTTATTCTTTATCACCCACGGTTTTCCGAAGCATCAATCATAGTCTGAAATTATATTATTTACTTGTTTTTTGTCTGTCTCCCAACATGAGCATTCCTGTGTCTCATCTCTCCACTAACACCCAGTGTCTGGCACACAGTAGGAGTTCTCACAATATCTGCTGGCAAAAGAGAAGTGAGGAAGGAAGGTGAACGGTGGGTCTACATTAGTGGGACTGAGAGGTGCACACTAGGCTGCGATGGGGAGGGTGTGGACTCTTCATTGGAAGCTGAAGAACAGGCGGTGTCTCCCCCGTTTAGGATGACCTACATGGAAGGAGTCAGGCAAGAGTGGAGTTCCTCTTCTCCCACACTCTGTCCACTGCCCTGAGGTTTATGTTTGCATGGCGCCTCATTCCTCACCCTCTCTCCCATACCTCCTTCCATGTTCCTCCCCTTGCCAAACGCCCTAATGGCAGTATAAAAAGATGGGCCCTATATAAGTGGCATCTCCAGGATCCTCTATACCTACTATTCCACAAGACTATATTTAACAATATATTTAATAATAAGTCAGTGGAGTACTCATCCCACATAGCCATATTCTGGGTCAAACTTCTATCAATCTCCTCTAAATATCTGTTTTTCACACCTAGGGATACTCTTCCTACCTTTCCCAGAAACCCATGTTTTTAACATATGTTTAATGCAAAGCTTAATTCATTCCTGGCACAGCCTCTGGTTATAAATAGCTTGAAATGTTGTTTCTCTTGCTTTTAAATTTTCAGCACAGATAAACACAAATTTGAATCCCCAGGGAGCCAGAGAGGAGTATTTGGGGGGTGTGTGGTGGGGGGAAGGAAACAATGAAACAAGGGTGAAAACCAATCTAACAACTCTCAAGGGAGTTGTCAGCCCATGCATCCAGATCAGCCACACTCTGCAGCTAGAACCCAGGTACCCGTGACTCAGTGTGATTTACAGGGCAACTGTTTTCCTAATTCAGGCTAAGGAGGCAATTAGAGTTTTAAGCATCTGGACAGAACTTGACTTTTTCTCAAACACCAAAAAGTGTCCACTCTAAATACATAAGGTACTCCACGGGTACAGCCCTCTCTAAGCACCTCCACGACGTGAGCTGAAAAGCAAGTATACTGGACACATTACTCTATGTGTTTGTGAAATACTGTGTAGTTCTACTTTATGAAGACGGTTTCACCAACTCAATATGAGTAGGATACATGCTTGGGGTAGCATTTAGGTAAATATGCCTTTAAAACTGTGCTATTTAAATTCCCTTACCAGGTGTTTTTCAGCCATCTGTTATATGAGTGGGCTAATGTAGGGCAGGGGCCAGCAGATGGTAATGTTTCTCTCAGTGTGATACCACCTGGCTTCCACGGAGAGAGGTTCATTCAGTGTGTGCTCTCTAGCATGGAGTCCTCACCAAAAAGGCTGGCCAATTCATTCATACATATGGAGCATTCTATAACCCCTCTTTACTGCTCTGCAGTGCCTCTCACACCTTTCATAATTATTCCCCTAGAGAATGCTCTTTTTCTGACATGCAGTATGGTAAATATTAAAAAAAAAAAAAAAAAGGACCCTACACATATACTGCAACTTACTTCAAGAGGCAAAGCCTAATTCCCTTTCCTTGAATCTGAACTCACTTTAGTCTCTTGCCTTCACCAATAGAATGTGGCAGAAATGATGTTCCAGGATTTTCAGGCAGAGTCATAAGAAGCCTTATAGCTTCTGCCTGTGTCTCTTGGAATACTTACTCTCAGGATGCTCCCTCTCGGATCCAACCACCATGTTTTGAGAAGAACACACCACACAAGAGGTCACACAGAAGTGATCTGGGGACAGCCAGGCTCTGTCAGTCATGTAAGCAAGCCGTCTTGGCCATCCAGCCCAATCGAGCCTTCAGATGACTGTAGCCCCAGCCAATGCTGGACAGAAACCACACGTGGGAAGTTCAAGGAAGAACCAGCAAGCTGAGCCAAACAACCCACAGAATCATGAGAAACAATTACTTTCTTAAGCCACTAAATTTAGGAGCTGTTTGTTAAGCAGAAATAGATAACCAGAACACACAGAATCATGGAATTCTAGGATGAGAGGCCCATGAGAAATCACTTGTTTACCTAATATTCCGGCAGAACACTGAAAATCATCCCAGCTCTGAATTGGCACCCCCACTTCCTTCCCTGAAATAATGAGATGAGAAAGAGCTAGAGGTGGCTCTAATGGGCAGGTTCTGTTAAGTGAGTGTTTTGCCCATCAGTGAGAAAATGAGGAATTTACAAGTTCTGCAGTCTCCTACTGTGATCAAATGTGGTATAACTAAGCCAGAACTATTGAGAGTAGACCATTGGTAATCTTGCCTAATTCTTATTAAGATTACTTCCTTTAAGCAACTTAAGCTTCCATCAACAGATGACTGAATAAAGAAGATGTGGTGTATGTGTGTATACATGTCACAAACACACAATGGAATACTACCCAGCCATAAAAAAGAATGAAATGTTGCCATTTGAAGCAACAGGGATGGACTTGGAGGGTATTATGCTAAGTGAAATAAGTCAAAGAAAAACAAATACTGTATGATATTACTTACATGTGGAATCTAAAAACAATACAACAAATTAGTGAATAAAACAAAAAAGAAGCAGACTCACAGATACAGAGAACAAACTAGTGGTTACTAGTGTGGGGAGAGGGAAGGGGGAGGGGGAATATAGGGGTAAGGGAATAAGAGGTACAAACTATTAGGTATAAGCTAAGCTAAAAGGACACACTGTACAACATGGGGAATATAGCCAACATTTTCTAATAACTATAAATGAAATATAACCTTTAAAAATTGTCAATCACTATTCTGTATACCCATAACATATAATATAGTATGTCAACTGTACTTCAATTTAAAAAGCTATAGAGGATTGGTTCAAGGTAGCAGAGTAGAAGGATGTGCTCTCACTCCCTCGTGTGAGAGCACTGGAATCACAACTAACTGCTGAACAATCATCGACAGGAAGACACTGGAACGCAACAAAAGAGATACCCCACATCCAAAGACAAAGAAGAAGCCACAATGAGACGGTAGGAGGGGCGCAATCACAATAAAAGTCCCATAACTGCTGGGTGGGGAACTCACAAACTGGAGAACACTTATACCACAGAAGTCCACCCACTGGAGTGAAGATTCTGTGCCCACGTCAGGCTTCCCAACCTGGGGGCCTGGCAACGGGAGGAGGAATTCCTACAGAATCAGACTTTGAAGGCTAGTGGGATTTGGTTGCAAGACTTGGACAGGACTGGGGGAAACAGAGACTCCACTCTTTGACGGCACACAAAAATTGTGTGTGCACCAGGACCAAGGCAAAGGAGCTGTGACCCTATAGGAGACTGAACCAGACCTACCTGCTAGTGTTGGTCTCCTGCAGAGGCGGGGGTTGGCTCTGTCTCACCGTGAGGACAAGGACACTGGCAGCAGAAGTTCTGGGAAGTACTCCTTGGCATCAGCCCTCCCAGGGTCTGCCATTAGCCCCACCAAAGAGCCTGGTAGGCTCCAGTGTTGGGTCACCTCAGTCCAAACAACCAACAGGAAGGGAACCCAGCCCCACCCATCAGCAGAGCAGATTAAAGTTTTACTGAGCTCTGCCCACCAGAGCAACAGCCAGCTCTACTCACCACCAGTCCCTTCCATCAGGAAACTTGCACAAGCCTCTCAGATAGCCTCATCCAACAGAGGAGAGACAGCAGAAGCAAGAAGAACTACAATCCTGCAGCTAGTGGAACAAAAACCACATTCACAGAAAGACAGACAAAATGAAAAGGCAGAGGGCTATGTACCAGATGAAGGAACAAGATAAAACCCCAGAAAAACAACTAAATGAAGTGGAGATAGAAAATCTTCCAGAAAAAGAATTCTGAATAATGATAGTGAAGATGATCCAGGACCTCGGAAAAAGAATGGAGGCAAAGATCGAGAAGATGCAAGAAATGTTTAACAAAGACCTAGAAGAATTAAAGAACAAACACCTAGAAAAATTAAAGAACAAACAAACAGAGATGAACAATAACATAACTGAAATGAAAACTACACCAGAAGGAATCAATACCAGAATAACTGAGGCAGAAGAACGGATAAGTGATCTGGAAGACAGCATGCTGGAATTCACTGCTGCGGAACAGAATAAAGAAGAAACAATGAAAAGAAATGAAGACGGCCTAAGAGACCTCTGGGACAACATTAAACGCAACAACGTTCGCATTATATGGGTCCCAGAAGGAGAAGAAAGAAAGGACCTGAGAAAATATTTGAAGAGATTAGAGTTGAAAACTTCCCTGACATGGGAAAGGAAATAGCCACCCAAGTTCAGGAATCGCAGAGAATCCCACACAGGATAAACCCAAGCAGAAACATGCCGGGACACATAGTAATCAAGCTGGCAAAACATAGAGACAAAGAAAAATTATGGAAAGCAGCAAGGGAAAATGACAAATAACATACAAGGGAACTCCCATAAGGTTAACAGCTGATTTCTCAGCAGAAACTCTACAAGGCAGAAGGGAGTGGCATGGCATATTTAAAGTGATGAAAGGGAAGAATCTACAACCAAGATTACTCTACCCTGCAAGGATCTCATTCAGATTCGATGGAGAAATCAAAAGCTTTACAGACAAGCAAAAGCTAAGAGAATTCAGCACCACCAAACCAGCTCTACAACAAATGCTAAAGGAACTTC